TGTGGAGAACTGTTTTCCATCCTTTTACTTTCAGTCTATGAATTTCCTTTTGAGTTAGGTGTGTTTCTTGTATACAGCATATTGTTGGGTTTTGCTTCTTAATCCATTCTGTCAGTCTGTTTCTTTTGATTGGTGAATTGAAGCCATTAATATTGATACTTATAATTGAGAGATGACTCATTCTTGCCATGATGTTTTATTGTTGTTGGCTCTTTTCTTATTTTTCCCCCTTTTCCTTTAGTGGCTTACCTTGTGTGGTGTCTTCTCTCTGTTGGCTCTCATGGAGATTTGACCTTCATTTCTTTTTCTAGGTTATTGCTTAAAATTGTTTGGAGTGCTGGTTTGGTGTTCATGAAATTTCTCAGGTGTTCTTTGTCGTGAAAGTATCTAATTTCCCCATCAATTTTGAAAGATAATTTTGCAGGATACAACAGTCTAGGTTGAAAGTTATTTTCTTTCAGGGCTTGAAATACTTCACTCCAGGCTGTCCTTGATTTGAGGGTTTGTGTTGAGAAATCTGCCTTGATTCTGATGGGCTTTCCTTTGTAGATGGTTTGTTTCTTTTCTCTAACTGCCTGTAGAATTTCATTCTTCTGTTGGGTTTCTGGGATCTTGACTATTATATTGTCTAGATGTAGATTTTTTTTTTATCGTGGCTTGTTGGGGTTCTATATGCCTCACTTAACTGTGTGTACAATTCTCCACCTCTGTCTGGGAAGTTTTCTACTATTACTTCTGTGAACAGTTTTTTATTTCAATTGTACTTTCTCCTGTGTTTTCATGGACTCCTGTCAGTCTTATGTTATTCTTCTTTGCATCATCTAGCAGCTGTTGGATTGATTTCATGTGGTCCCTTACTATCTTTACGATATCTCTGTTTTCATGGTCTTTAACTGTGATCTTGTCTTCTATATCTGATATTCTGTCTACAGATTCTCTTCGTCTGCTCTGCATGCTTTCAGTGGAGTTTTTAATCTCCTGAATGTCTGTTTGAATTTGTTTCATGGATTCCATTTCTTGCTTATGTTGGGTGATCATAGTTTCCATTTCTTTCTTATGCTGGGCATTCATGGTTTCCAGCATGTTTCTGACCTCATCTATATTCTTATCTGTTTCTGCTCTAGAGCCTCTAATCATGTCTTTCACTCTACTCACCATGTCTGTATTTATCTGGGAGATTATTTCTGCATTGAATTTTTCTAGAGCCTCATGTATCTGCTTTGTTACTTCCTGTGCTATCATTTCAGGGTGTCCAGGTGGTTTATTATCTGACTTTTCCACCTCATTTCCCCCAGAATTTCCATTTCGTGGCATGGACACCTGCATTTGTGCTTTGTTTAAATGTCTTGTCATTTTTGTTTTTGGTACTGTCCTTGGTTTAATTCCTGGGTTGATATTTCAAAATTGCTTAATGCAGCTATCTTTGTTGCTTGTGTTTAAAACCCTTGTGGAATGACTGCTTTTCAGAGGTGTCTTCCAGATACAGCTTGTGTTTAGGTTTTGAGGCTCTAATGACTCTGAGGCTATTTTATTTTCCTTATACCAGGAAGGAAAACTTATTAGATCAATCACAACGTTAGGCCAAATGTTACAATCAGCAATACCATAGCATCAAGTGCAGCTTGGAAAATGACAATTTGTGGTAGTTATTAATCTATCACATTTAACTATGTGAAGTATAATCCCCTGTGCCTCTGTAGTGTGGGACCAGGTAAGCAGAAGAGCTGGAAGGCGGGGGGTGGGGGGATGGAACTGGGCCTTGGAGGTGCCCACACAGGTATGTGGAGCACCGGATGAAGGCAGGGCTCCAAGCCGCTCCTGGGACCTCACCGTGCCATGGGCGGGAACCAGAACACAGCCCAACTGGATGATTTTTAAATGCACACTTATATCTTCAGTACTACTGATCTTCTACAATGTTTTTATGTTATAATGAAGTATAATTTAACACTATGATTTAATAAAATATTCCCTAATATTTATTTAGTGGGGAATAGATTGGGTGTATTCTTAAGACCAATTTAATAAGTGTATATATAGCAAAAACACTGAATTAAAGAAATTTAAACCATTTTATTCTCTGAACGTCTCAACTTACATTAATACTCAAATAATAATATCATTAAATTATATTACTCTACTTATTATTATATCTGAATATTACCATTCTGGCCAACACACATCGTAGTCAAACAGTACCCACTTTCTAGATGTTTTTGTGTGGTGGTAGGGATTGAATCCATAAGCAAGTCTTAATTTATTTGAACATAGCCTAGTATAACAAGCTTATTGCAGTGTACTGGTATTATTTTACTCTTTGCATACAGATATCTTTAGCTGCAAAGATAGGATATTAAAATGGGAACAGTCATAAACTGAAAATCTGTCCTTGCTAGGTTATTCAAGGTGAGAAATGTAATGTAGATTATGTAGTCTTGCTTGTATTGTTCTTTAGGTTAAAAGTTATATATGTATATACTTACATATGTATATCCACTGAAAATGAAGAGGTTAATGAAGAGGAAAACTTTGTATAACATCAAAACTATTAACGTACTTGGATTATCAACATCATAGAATTATAACTTGCTATTGACACATTGTAAGTATTAAAGTAAGGACAATTTAAGTCAGAGGAAGAAAAATGTCTTAAAATCTGTTTAGTAATTCACTTAAAAAACACATATCAATGATATGTTAACTGACTTTTAATATTGATACAAATTATATAAAATGCATTCCTTACATAATAAATGATGCAACTATATGAACAAAGCAGGCCACTGTTCTTGAGCATCTGCCTCTCCCCAAAGGACTGGGCCAGGAATGCACTTCCCATCCATTTTTCCTCAGTCCATTTCATGTATTTAAAGGTGTAGTATTGATTAGAAAATCCTCTGGGAAATACTTTTCTCTGGTGAGACTGCAAGTAATTCTTACATGCTGCTTCTGGAAAACAAAGCAAAGAGAATGCATGCAAGGAACAAATAAATTATGGATTCTCTCCGAGAGCCACTGTACTGCATTAGATTAACAGTCCAAAGTAGGGAGGGGGAAGAAGGGAAAGAAAAAGTATGAGAAAAGAAGGAAAAAACAAAGTTTTTGTAAATAGGGGTGGAGTGGTGGAAGGGAGGGAAGGGGAATGGGGAAAAATAAGAACCAAGCTATACCATGTACAGGTCCAAGTTCCCAATGATGAATGTGACCATATTGCATACCTAAAATGTACCAAGAAACTTAATGGAACAACAACAGCAAAAACCAACCGACCCAGAAAAGACAACGTACACGTGTCTGTCCTCATCAGGCATGGACACTGAGGCAAAAGCCCGTCCAGTCTTGGCTGTGACAGGAGGGCGGAAGCTGGCCCAGGAGCAGGCGTGTTGCCACGTAGTGCAGGCACCACCTTAAGCAAGTGTGACTGAGACATGGGTATCAAACCGGAGATTCAGGACCCTGCACGCCTAGCAGTGTCACTGGAACTCGCAGAGCTTTTGTCTGTGTTGATTGTTTCTATCATACTAAGATATTATAAATGAAAGCAGAAAATGTTAAAATGGATGTTATTAACTCGTTAAGAATATCCATGGTGTGAGGGTGTAGCTCAGTGGGAGAAGACATTCTTAGACCATGTGCAAGGGGCTGGGATCGATCCCCAACACCGGACACAAAGCCACCAAAATCCTATTACACATTCCCATAAATAGCACGTATTTGTAAAAAGATGATAAAAAATAGCAGACTCACATCATTTTTCATATCCTTAAAATTTCTGGTATAATAGATGGTGCTAGATTTCCATACCTGCTTTGCAACTGAATTGTGGTATCACTGGCAACATCACACTTCATGTTGCCTATCAAAAACTACATCTATGTTTGTGCAAAATGAGAGGGAAAAATGGGAATGACACATAGTTTTGAATTGGCAGACCTCGAAGGACCAAGACTGAAAAATTTTCTATGCAAGTTAAGTTTTTTAGCAGAATTAGAGATTTGGGGGTGTAAAATCGATAGCATCAAAACTTGAAATTTAACAGAAAATAATCATGCATATGAACATTCCCGTGGTTAAAAAAAATAGTGCTCTAGCTATGATTCCTCTCTGAATGAAGAAATAATTTGTCTGAATGGTTATCTCTCCTTGTGTATTGCCTTATCTCTCCCTCCAAAAGAAGATAGGATGTAGAAAATGAGTAGTTAGGATAAATGTATACAAATACGTTTTTCTGTTTGCATTGAAAGCTAATGAATGTCCAAATGAGAATTGACAGGTATCATCAATTTCCATTTTCTACATCAGGCAATTTCATCTGTACTAAGCATATGTTCATGAGTTTAGATATACACAGTATTATAGAAAATTTAAGAAGAATAACATTTGAGTCACATGTTCAGGCAATTAATTTTGCTGATAAAATTAAAACTTTTGAGGTGCAACATATGCTTACAAAAAATGACAAAATATTACCTCTTTTGGGTGAGGAAAGGGATTCACAGAAAGCTCTAAAAGTATAGTTTTACTTCATTAGCAAAGTGATTTATGCATGGATATTTATTTTAAAGAGTTATAAT